TTTTTTTTTTTTTTTTTTTTTTTTTTTTTTTTTTTTTTTTTTTTTTTTTCAATAGATTTTAGGGGGTGATGTATGGGGTTACATGATGTTTACCACTTACGAAAGTACCGGATGGATGTGGGATTGCGAGAGTTTCTTTTTTGGGGTGAAACTTTTCTGGACTGCTTTAAAAATCGTTGTGGTTTAGGATGTTTCTTGAATTTTATTTCATTATTTGTTTACAGACATATGAGTTTTAAATAGAAAAGTTTACTGTTCTAATAGTTTTCTCGGAGTAATTAATTAATCACCACAAGGCTTTCTGTTTAGAGATTATATATGAATGAACCTCTCTCATTTCTATACAACTCAGGTACAAACGAAAACATCGCTTGTTTTATTTTTACCGTTTTTAATACAAAAAAAATGTCAAAATAAATATAAATATTACGTTAAAATTTGAACATTCCCTTCATCAAAGAAGAAATCTAATACCTTGAAAAAATAGTTTGATACGCATTTTCGGCATTATTTTTTAATCCATGTATGTTGCATGTACTTATTGTACATATTAAGTGAAAAAACACGATTTTGTGAAAAAACCCCTATACTTTTCGGCAAAACAATCGTAAATAAATGAATTCTCACTATGTTTACGGCACAAATCATTCGGAAAAACATCGAAAACTCATCCTCTCTGACCAAAATACCCTATCACCGAGAACGAAGAGAACAAAAACAACACTCGACACGCAAAACATGACTTTAACTAAAGACTTGTAAAGATCAAAATTCACCAAACAAATTCAACTCGACGAAAAAACAAAAAATTAACATTGTTTTTGGATTAAATTTAAAAAATAAATAAATAAGAACCCCCTCAGCAAATAATAAGGTCGATTCTGCTATGCATAACGTGCATGCGGGTGCTCACCCATTTTTTTTTTTTTTTTTACAGTCTATAATCATCGTCTGCCATTACTGCACACTCACTTGGCTCTCCCCGGCTTTCTCATACTCATTACCTTGCATTACTTATTCGAGAGCACGAAATTAAAGAGGCGCGGCACCGCGTCTCGTGCACGCGAGCACGCAACGAATGTAAACACGTGATACACCTTACAATAATATTACACATGCATATTATTTTATGGTATATTATTAACGTAATCTCAAGTCGTAATGAATATCAGCAGGCCTTGATCTGAGACTACGGAAGAGAAAAGGAAGGAGAGAAAAGTTACCATGGCACTGGTTATGTTGCCGTGTGACCTGCCCTGGTGGTCGGCGGTGACAAAACAGCTGGACAGAGCTGCCGCGGCAAAGGACTCGATCGAGCTCATCGACGCCATGCGCCGGCTTCACGACATGTGCAAGTGAGTATTATTTTTCTTTCGGGTAGAAGTCAGGGATGAAAGAATAAATAGTCAGTCTTAACGCAAAACTGAGAATTAATTGTGAAACAAACATTTTTCATTTTTTTTTATTTTTTTTTTTTAACTACAACTACTAAACTAGATTATCATATTATCGTGAATATGATTCTTACAAGTAAAATAATGTCATTTATAAAATTTTAATTAATTATTACATATATTTATAACCGTTAAAAATAAAAAAAATTTGTGCTTTTGAATCCCTACGTTTATATCACGTGGTTAAAAAAACCAGTATACCAATGATAATAAAAATCATTTGTTGAAAAAATATTAACTTGAAACTTCTGTGACTACATTTTCCAATAATAATAATGGCAATAATATTAATTGTTTCATGTACTAAGAAATAAAATCAAACAGTATTAAATCACTGAAATTTTATTTATTAATATTACTATTGTACGACTTATTACTAAAAATGTTTAACTTATGATAA